CCCCGCCGCCCCCCTTCCCCAAGCTGCCTGGTCTGGGACTGTAACCAAGGAGTCAGCCATGTGGATCCAGCACCTAGGGAGCTTTTAATAAACGTCCTCATGCCTCAGACCAATTAAGTTTTAATCTTTGGAGATTAGGCCTGGGTATTATGTATTTTTTTAAAGTGTCACTATTGAAGTTGATGTGCAACCCCAGAGAATCATCGTTGCGGAGTTTGGTTTATTCTGAAGTCTTAATGGTGGTGCAGTCAAAACTAGAGTGCAGGTCTTTTGATTTACACTCTAATGCCTTTTCCTCCACACTGAATTTCCATGCAGACAGAAGCACTGTAGAGATTTAGAGAGCCTTGGTGTAAAGGCCAGCCAGCATTTCCAATTTATGGAGGTGCTGTAGCATAAAGACTAGAACATGGAATTTAGAGTCAAGTTTATTAACTGTGAATTAATAAGTATACTTGAGTCTGTTCTCACTTGTAAAATAAGGACACTGCCTTAAGATCTGTAAGCATATTGTGGGAATCAAATGAGATGTGTTAAAAGATTTCGTAAAGTTTAAAGTGCCTTCCAAAACTTAGTTTTACTCAGTTTTAACCTAGTGCGTTTATTGGCTGATTTTTCTTGGGGTTCATAAATTACACAAGTAATGTATACATACAGCTTCACTGAAATACAAAAATAACACATAATTATGCAGAGTAGAGTGTAGAGGTCATTGTTAGTTGCATACTTTCAATCCTTTGTGTATGCGTTTAAATGCACAAATATGTGTGTAACGTAAGTATTTTTTTATAGTATAAACATAGACTATTCCTTTACACATTTGTGCCTTTAAAAAAAAAAACAAAAACTTAGACTGTCTTAGATCATTCCATATTAGGATATTTGAATCTCTTTCATTCTTTTTTTTTTTTTTTTAGAGGTTTTCGCTATAGGGCGCGTGCGCTTGCCAGACAGAGAGAGACAGAGAGACAGAAAGCGAGAAATCACCCCCCAGGGGGATGGCCATGCTACAATCCCCTCTCCTCCATTCTCCTCTCGGGATCTTGGGCACGCACGCACACGCGCCCAGCGTGAGTTTTAAGCCACCAGGTCCAGGACGCGAACCGCGGTCGACTACGTGGGAGTCCAGCGACATAGCCATTACGCTAACTGCTGGTCCCGCTTTCATTCTTTTAATAGCTGAATTTTTCCATATATTTCCATATTGGTGGCATTTAGTGTCTTTTTTTTTTTCACTTTTATAAAAAAAGTTTATGAACATTTTTAGCTCTCTCTTATTAAAACATTAGTTAATTCTTATTTAAAAAATTATTCTATTTCCATGATATTGGGTGTTAAGATGGAAAGGCCATTTATGAGAAATCTTTTTTATTTTTTTTGGAGAGGTTTTTACTATAGGGCGTTTGTGTGCGCTTGCCAGAAACACACACAGAGAGAGAGAGAGAGAGAGAGAGACATCATCCCCAGGGGGTATGGCCACGCAACAATCCCTTCTCCTCCATTCTCCTCTCAGGATCTTGGGCACACAAACACATGCATCTGACGTGAGTTTAAGCCACCGGGTCTGGGACTGGAGCCACGGTCGACTACATGGGAGTCTAGCGATATATGGTCAACTACATTGGAGTCCAATGACATAGCCATTATGCCAACTACTGGTCCTGTGAAATCTTAGGCTTTCTATGTTCAAGACATCTGAAATGAGTGAGCACATTTTTTTCTTTTTATTCATGATACAGAGCAATATACGTATGTGCACAGGATAGAAAGAGAGAGTGGGAAAGGAAGCATCCTTGACATGGCTTTGTTACATTTCAGTC